ACATCAGCAAATGAAGGTCCCAAAGACTTTGCTCCACCTACATCATTAAGGTCAACTCTACTTTGAGGAGGCAGCTCTTCCCCAGTTGTATTTTGAGTGCTTTTCAACCTGAGAGGCTTGTCTTCCAGCACTATATCTTATAACGTTCTGTTATTATCCATTAGGTTTTCATTGACTTATTTTCAGAAGTAGGTCACCAGGCCCTTTCTCCTAGTCTATCTTAGTCTGGTTTCTCCACTGAAACCTGTCCACCGCAGGTGACCCTGCTAGTATTTGAAATACTGGTGGCGTAGCTTCAAACATCATAGTGACACAAAAGCCACCACATTATAACAAACTGACGGACAGGTTCTTACCAATATAGAGTTATCCAGTTCTGAAATTTGAATTTGATTTTTCTCAGCAATGATTTGTATTTTTTTAGTGTGGAGATCTTGGATGTTTTTTGTTAATTGATAATTATTTTATGTTTTTTTAGCAGTGTTGTAAATGGAGGTTTTAAATTTTTTATTTTCCAATTATTTTCTGTTTGTATAAAATTGATTTCTGTATATTGTATCTTTGCTAACTTCACTTACTAATTTTAGTTCTTGTTTTGCAGATTCCCTGGGATTTTCTACATAAATAATCATATCATATGCAAGGAGGGACAGTTTTACTTCTTCCTTTCCAAACTTTATACGTTCTATTTCTTTTTCTTGCCTTGTTATAATAATGCGGCCCTCCACTGCAGTCTTGAATAAAAGTGATAAAGCCAGTGTCCTTGTCTTATTCCTCCTATTAGGAAAAACATTTCAGTCATTTACCATTAAGTATGATGTTGTTGTTGTTAGGTGCCGTCAAGTTGATTCCGACTCATGGTGACCCTCTGTACAACAGAACGAAACACTACCAGGTCCTGCGCCATCCTCACAGTCATTGTTATGCTTGAGCCCACTGTTGCAGCCGCTGTGTCAGTCCATCTCGTTGAGAGTCCTCCTCTTTTTCACTGACCCTCTACTTTACCAAGCATGATGTCCTTCTCAAGGGACTGATCCCTCCTGATAACATGGCCAGAGTATGTGATATGTAGTCTCGCCATCTTTGCTTCTGAGGAGCATTCTGGCTGTACTTCTTCCAAGACAGATTTGTTCATTCTTTTGGCAATCCATGGTATATTCAGTATTCTTCACCAACACCATAGTTCAAATGCATCAGTTCTTGTTCAGTCTTCCTTATTCATTGTCCACTTTTCCCATGCACATCAGGCGATTGAAAACACCGTGGCTTGGGTCAGGCACACCTTAGTTGTCAAAGTGACGTCTTTGCTTTTTAACACTTTAAAGAGGTCTTTTGCAGTAGATTTGCCCAATGCAATGTGTCGTTTGATTTCTTCTTGACTGCTGCTTCCATGGGTGTTTAATGTGGATCCGAGTAAAATGAAATCCTTGACAACTTCCGTCTTTTCTTCATTTATCATGATGTTGCTTACTGGTCCAGTTGTAAGGATTTTTGTTTTCTTTAGTTGAGATGTAATCCATACTGAAGGCTGTGGTCTTTGATCTTCATCAGTAAGTGCTTCAAGTCCTCTTCACTTTTCGCAAGCAAGGTTGTGTCATCTGCATAACGAAGGTTGTTAATGAGTCTTCCTCCAATCCTGATGCCCTGCTCTTCTTCATATAGTCCAGCTGCTCTGATTGTTTGCTCAGCATACAGATTGAATAAATATGGTGAAAGGCTACAACCCTGACACACACCTTTCCTGATTTAAAACCACGAATATCCCCTTGTTCTGTTCGAATGACTGCCTCATGCTGTATGTGCAGGTTCCACATGAGCACAATTAAGTGTTCTGGAATTCCCATTATTTGAAATGTCATCCATTTTTTGTTATGATCCACACAGTAGAATACCTTTGCATAGTAAATAAAACACAGGTAAACATCTTTCTGGTATTTTCTGCTTTCAAGCGGGAGCCGTATGACATCAACAATGATATACCTGGTTCCACGTCTTCTGAATCCGGCTTGAATTTCTGGCAGTTCCCTGTCAGTGTACTGCTGTAACTGCCTTTGAATGCTCTTCAAAAAAATTTTACTTGTGTGTGGTGTTAATCATATTGTTCGATAATTTCTGCATTTGGTTGGATCACCTTTCTTTGGAATAGGCATAGATATGGATCTCTTCCAGTCGTTTGGCCATAGACATATGAGCACTTCCAGTGCTGCATCTGTTTGTTGAAACATCTCAATTAGCATCCCATCAGTTCCTGGAGGCTTGTTTTTCACCAGTGCCTTCCATGCAGCTTGGACCTCTTCCTTCAGTACCATCGGTTCCTGATCATATGCTACCTCCTGAAATGATTGAACAATGACCATTCTTTTTGGTATAGTGATTCTGTGTATTCCTTCCATCTTCCTGCATCATTTGATGCTTCCTGCATCGTTTAATACTTTCCCTGTAGAATCCTTCAGTATTGCAACTCGGGCCTTGAATTTTTTCTTCAGTTCCTTCAGCTTGAGAAATGCCGAACGTGTTCTTCCCTTTTTGTTTTCTAACTCCAAGTCTTTGCACATGTAATTATAATACTTTGTCTTCTTGAGGCGCCCTTTGAAATCTTCTGGTCATCTCTTTGACTTCATCATTTGTATGATATTAGTTGTAGTTTTTACAGATGCTGCTTATCCAATTGAGGAAGTTCCCTTCCATTCCTGGTTTTCTAATAATTTTAAATTTTTTTTAGCATGAGTGAGTATTGAATTTTGTCAAGCGCTTTTTTTTTGCATCTAATGAATTGATGGCACGTTTTTCTCCTTAGATGTGTTTTTGGTGAATTATGTTGATTGCTTTTTGAATATGAAACCAATCTACATTCTTGGCCTAAACCCTATGTGGTCATGGTTTATTATCCTTTTATTGTATTCTTTGATTTGTTAACATTTTATTAAGGATTTTAGCATCTGTATTCAAGTGGGATAGTGGTCTGTAAATTTCTTTCTTGTAGTGTCTTTGTCAGGTTTTGGTATTATGGTTATGCTGACCTCATAAAGGAGCCCTGGTGGCACAGTGGTTAACCAGTGACAGGTTTTGTTTTGTTGTTGGTTTGGTTTTTTTTTTTTTTTGGTCTTATAAAATATGTTGGAATATGTTCCCCTCTCCCTTTTCTGAAAATGTTTTTTACTTGAATGTTTGATAGAATTTACTACTGAAATCATCTGAGACTGGAGTTTTGTTTTGGGAAAGATTTTTGGTAACACATTTAATTTCTTTGATAGTTATGAAACAAAAAAAAAACATAAACCCTTTGCCATGAAGTTGATCCGAACTCATAGCGACCTTATAGGACAGAGTAGAACTGCCCCGTAGGATTTCCAGGGAGTGGCTAGTAAACTCGAACTGCCAACTGCCAGCCTTTTTGGTTAAGAGCCAAACTCTTAACTGCTGTGCTACCTGGGCTCCTTAATAGTTATAGCACCGTTTAAATTTTCTGTTTCATTTTGTGTTGATTTGGTTAAGTTTTATTTTCAAGAAATTTTTCCATTTCATTGAGGTTGTCAATTTCTTGGCATGAAGTTGTTTATAAATTTGTAGGATCTTCATACCAAAGGAAAAAAAAAGCAAACCCATTGTGATCGAGTCGATTCCAACTCATAGCAACCCTATAGGACAGAATAGAACTGCCCCATTGGATTTCCAAGGAGCCGCTGGTGGATTCAAACTGCCGACCTTCTGGTTAGCAGCCAAGCTCTTTAACTCTGCGCCATCAGGGCTCCTTTTTCATTTCTGATATTGGTGATTTATGTTCATTTTCTTTTTTTTTTTTTTTCTTTATCTGTCTAACTAGAGGTTTGCCAATTTTGTTGATCTTTTCAAAGGATCAGCTTTTGGCTTTGTTAATATGCCTTATAGTCTGTTTTCTATTTGATTAATTTCTGGTCTCACCTTTATTATTTCCTTCCTTCTACTCACTTTGGATTTACTTTGCTTTACTTTTTCTAGTTCCTTAAGGTAGAAATTTTTATCATAACTTTCTTTTTTTTCCAGTGTAATTATTTAAAGCTATAGGTATCCCTCTAAGTTTTAGTTGCATTCCACAAATTTGTGCATGTTGTATTTTCATTATCATTCTGTTCAAAATATTTTCGATTCTCTTGTGATTTCTTTTTTGATCCATGAAAAGTATGTTGTTTAGTTTTCAAATAGTTGAATTTCCTGGCTACTCTTAGTGTTATTATTTTCTAAATTCCATTGTGGAGACAGTAGAAACAGTGAAAGCTTAAAAGATAGCAGCTGCTTTGGGAAGGGAGGGTGAGGAGCGGTGAGTTGGGGGTGGTGAGAACAGAAGTAGATAGATTACCAGAGGGCCTTGTATCTTGGGAGTAACCAAAAAAGAAGAAATATGTGAGGTATAAGGATTTATTGCGGTACAGCATTTCTAAGAAAATTAGAAACTAGTCCCCTGGTGAACAGACGGTTACTTGATTATTAATCAGGAGTGAATCTTTTATGTTAAGGTCCTTTGTCATTGTTACTGATATTAATGAAAATTAAACACTGGAACAAAGCCATATATATAAATATGATACAAATAATAGTAAATTAAAGCAACCTAGCTTTATTGTATAAAACTCTTAGTGATTATTTATAGCCTGTTTGCTCTTTTACATTTTGCACTTTGAGGAGGGAGTGGGACATTAGATTGGGGATATAAGGAGAAAAACGACTTTTGACCCAACACAGGCTATGTTATTCCATCTTTAAGAGAGAAAATTGTGTTTTAAATGCCTATTTTGTGGTGGTGGAGGCAATAAATGAGATCTGGAAAATTCTGTTAAAATCTACTTGTCTTATTAAAATGGAGATTAAATCCTGTCCAGTGGAGAGTGAAAATTCACAGATTGAATGTGAGCAGAAGTTGATAACTCTAGGATTTCTGTCTAATGTCATCCACTACCTCCTGCATGTCAGAGATTCCTTTCAGGAGTCACTGGTATTAAATCATTCTTCTCTATTTCGTGCAGATGTTTCTTTCTCAGCAAAATAGAGGAGAAACTTACTCTTCTTCCTGACGATCATAGTATGAAAGTGGATGGAGATGGAGATTCCGGTGACAATATGGAAATGCAAGAGCAGGAAGAAGATATTTATTCTCTGATTAAGAGCTGTAAGTTTTCAATGAAAATGAAGATGATAGAAAGTGCGAGAAAACAGGTAGGTACCCATATTTATGTTCCTCTATGTCATCATTGAATTTTCTTAAATTAGCTTTTTTTTCTTAACTTAGTATTTATTTAAAAATCTGTAGTTTAAAAATTTGAAGTTACTATTTTTTCTCTTCATAAGAAAGTAAACTTGAAGAAACGCTTAATATATTCCTTAAAGTTTTCCAGAAAGCCTCTAAAGTTTATTATACACCTATTAATCATTTTAAAATTATTAAAATCTGTTATTTAAAAAAGGAAAATAAATCTAATATCAGATTTTATCTCATTTAACAAAGGTTCATTTGTGGAAATCTATCATTTGATACTAACACCCTTTCTTGATATTATACTTGCCTTAAAAGTTGCATATAAACTGTTTCAATGCATTAAATCATATGCATTAGGGAGCTTGCTATTATAATGGCCTGATAGGTATTGGTTATTGTAAAGCAAAGAAGTTACTTTAATAGAAATAATTTTCTGTTCTGTAGGTTTAAATGCTCATGAACAGCTTTTCTTTGGGATGGGGTTTGTATCAGTCAGGAACTTTTATGTTGCAAATCACGGAAAACCTACCCAGAGCTGCCCAGGTGGAGAAAAGAGATTGATCAGTTCCCTCAAAGGAAGGGCCTAGAAGGGCTGGCATAGGCACACCTCAGATACTATGACCAAGGTTGCCCTGCTCTGCCTTCCACGTGTTGGCTCCAACCTTGGGTCCAGCATAGTGACTCTCTCTGGCGGAAATGGCTATGGAGGTTTCAGATCTTACTTCCTCCACACCAAGTCTTCCTGGAATAGAAACAGTTTCCTTTTGACTATCTCCTCCAGGAAAAAAGAAGGTGTTTTCTTTACCAGAAGGCTCCAGCTGTTATCTCCCATTGCCTCACTGGCTCTGACTGCGTGAGGAGAGGCCACCTGAACCCTTGGCCAAGGATAGGCACACGGGGCCTCTTAGAAGAAATCTAGGGTGCTGGTTCCAGAAGGAGAAGCAACGGACATTCCCTGCTGCTATTCAGACAATGAGAAAGGAGGGGGGGGGAAACTGATTTTGGGTACATTATTCAGAAATCCTGTGATAATCACAAAGATAGCTTAAAATCTCTCAAAAAACAGCACATTGGCTTTTCTTCAGCATTTTTTAGCTGAATAAATATGAATAGAGCTAAATAGAGTTCACTGTCAATACCAGTAATATTGGGAATGGAGACTAAAAGAATAATCCAAATATGAAGATTACATAAACCTTTCATTGCATTTTATCTGCTGCACTAGATTCAAAAGTTGCAGATCTGAAATTTGAATTTTATCTCTTTTCAATGCCAAGCACTTTGTTAGGTGCTTGTGATGCTGTGTTAAACAGAATATATACAAGTAGTCAAAAAATTATTATAAACTATGTCATGGTAAGTTCTAAAAGAAGGCCACATGGAGGGCACCTGACCCAAATTTGTAGAACAGGGAGGAGGAGGAGGTGGTCATGTCTAAACTAGGAACTAGAGGATGAAATATGGCAGAGGGAATCACATGTAAGACTCAAGAATGACCCAGTACCCTTGGTTTCGTACCCTTCAGCCTCTCCTAAATGTCTGGATAGCGTGGTATAGGGATGCCCTGGGAACAATTTCAAAAGAGCATTGGATTGGAGGAGCGGCCAACAATTAGCAAATTCTCTACTAATCCATGTGAAGGCTGATATTGGCCACGTCGAGGTAGAGGCCAGGTTGCTGGGAGAAGTGGACTGATTCAAGGACAGGAATGAGGCACCGAGAGGACATGCTGATTGTTATGTGTGGGAAGAGGAAGAGGAGGCACCTGATCTGATTAGCTGGGGGGTTCAGGAATGCAGGAGAACGCAGAATGCAGGGGGAAGGCAATGCGTTCAGTTTGGGACATGTTGAATTTGCAAGGCATTCAAGACAACCAAGTTGTGGTTTCCATTGGGTAATTTGTACATAAGAAACCTGGAGCTCTACAGAAAGAATTAGGCTGGAGAGGCAGGTCTAAAAGTGATAGGCATGTGGGTGGTCCCTGAAACCATAAGGTGGGTGTCATGGATTGAGTTGTGTCCCCCAGAAATATCTGCCGGCTTGGCTGGGTCATGATTCCCAGTATTGCATGATTGTGTTATCTGGTGTGATTTCCTTATGTGTTGTGAACTCTGTCAGTATGATGAGATTATATGTGCTCTCCTTGTGTGTTGTAAATTCTATCACTGTGATGAGGTTATACTGATGAGATTGACAAGATTAGTGTCTTAATGCAATCTCTTTTGAGATATAAAAGAGAGAAGCAAGCAGAGACACATGGGAACCTCACACCACCAAGAAAGCAGGAGCAGAGCTCATCCTTTGGACCTGAGGTTCCTGCGCAGAGAACCTCCCAGACCAAAGGAAGACTGATGACACAGACCTTCCTCCAGAGCTGACGGAGAAAGCGTTCCCCTGGAGCTGACGCCCTGAATTTGGACTTGTAGCCTGCTGGACTGTGAGAGAATAAACTTCTCTTTGCTAAAGCCATCCACTTGTGGTATTTCTGTTAGAGCAGCACTAGATGACTGAGATAGTGGGCAAGATGGCCCGGCTCAATCTTGGGAAAAACCAGCATGTACAGGCTGAGCAAGGAAGAGGAACCTACAGAGGAGCTGAAACTTGATAAGAAGAGTAGAGGAAGACCAAGGGATTATGAAACCACAAGGGAAGAGCCCGAACCATCAGTGTCCATTACCAAAGAGAAGGAAGGCATGGAAAGATTGAAAAGTGCCCTTGAATGTAAAAGAAGGAGGTTGCTGTTGGCTTTGGTGAGAACCACTTCACTGGGGCAAAAGGAGCCAGATTACAGTAGGCAGATGAATGAATGAAAGTGAAGATGTGAAGAGTCCATGCTCCTCTTTATAGAAGGAGTATATGAGGCTGAGGGAAAAATTTTTTTTTTTAGCATGAAAGAGACTTGGTTATGTTTAAATACTAATGGAAGGAACTAGTAGGTTAGAAGAGGTTGGACATGGGGAGGAATGATTGGTGAAATAAGATTTCTTGTGGAGGTTGGGAGCGGAGGGAACAGGATTCAGAGCACAGTGGGAGCAATCTGCCTTCAACAGGAGAACTGGAAGGAAGGAGGTAAGAATGGGTTTGGACCCAGGCAGAGTGGTAGTATACTGCAGGAGATCTGTTCTCTGAGGAGTAGAAGGGGAGGTGGTAAGGAAGGAGAATTGAGGAAAGTGAAGTCATTCTGAAGTAACTGTGGAGTGTCTTGGAGAAAGCTGACGAGGGAAATAGAGATTGTCAGGCAGCATTGAGAATCCAGTTGGAGTTGCCTCCAGTAGTAATGGTACCAAGGGGCCTATGTTAGGAGTAGAGGAGGCATGCAGTTTGAGTATTCCAGGGATATGGTTTTGCAGGTGAATGTGACATGAAGAAAAAGGCTGATGAATGAGACTATTGCTGAGAGAATGCAGACATGATTGGTTTTGTTAATTGGATATGGAAGCAAGTAAAAGCAGAAAGAAGGCAGGTCAAGTTACTAGAAGTCTTATGTAGGTTATGAAGCAAGCGTAACAGGAATTTAGTCAGCAGAACAAGTTTGTGGTTAGAATGGATTGATTTCTGTTGAAAAACTTGTGGTGGGGAGTTCTGAGTAATAATGAGGATCACGGTGTAATTAAGAAACTGAACCAGGCATTGTAAGTGGGAAAGACACTGTCCCTGTCGCATGATCACAGTCTAGCAAGAAGCGGTAAGTAACACAAGGTAGGCAAAGAAAACACCAGTGCTAAGAGAGTATTGGGAGGAAGAGAGAAATTCTGTCTGGGATATAAGGCTTCATGCAGAAGGAGGTTTTATGGAAATAGTAGGATTTAGACTTAGGAGGAGAAGGACATTCCAGGTGTACAAAATATTCAAACAAAAATACCAAGGTGAGAAACTCGGGTTGTGTGTAGTCTGCTCTCAGCAGAGGGACTGTGAGGGGCCTCATGATGGTAGGTCTGAGACAGAACATAGATACGGGTTAGGATATAGTCCCGTAGGAATTGGGAAATCACCAGAGGGTTCTCAGTCTTGTTGGTATGTTGGAAACTATGAGGTAGATCGACTGCTCAGGGGAAAAAACATACGCAGGGAGAGAGACCATGAAGTCCCGAATTAGGGAGGCAGTGATGGGAGTGAAAAGAACATGAGAGACATTTTATAAGTAGAGATAAAATGATCTGTGATATTAGGAATACTAGAGAGGCTGCAGTTGAGGATGACTTGGATTTTTAGCCTGGATTATTGAAAAGGTAGTAATTAGGCAGGTCAGCACTGATGAAAATGTCTTTTGAAGTTTTAGAGAGAATTAGACAAGTAGATTTAAAAAGACATCCATATTACAAGCAACCAAACCAAAAATACATAAATTGGACTTCAACTAAGAACTTCGCACATCAAAGGACAGTATCAAAGTGAAAGACAACCTAAGGATGGGAGAAAATATTTGCAAATCACTTATCTGATAAGGGTCTAAAAAACAAACAAACCCAAACCCATTGCCGTTGAGTCCATTCCAACTCTTAGCGACCCTACAGGACAGAGTAGAACTGTCCCACAGGGTTTCCAAGGAGCAGTGGAGGATTCAAACTGCCAGCCAGTTGGTTAGCAGCCATGCGCTTAACCACTGTGCCAGTAGGGTTCCGATAAGGGTCTAGTATCCGGAATATATAAAGAACTCTTACAACCCAACAATAAAAAAAAAAAAAAAAACAACGATTAAAAAATGAGCAAAGGACTTGAATAGACATTTCTCCAAAGAAGACATACGAATGGTCAATAAACACATGCAGAGATGCTCAACATCATTACTCATTAGTGAAATGCAAATCCAAACCACAATGAGATACAAACCCACACCCACTAGAGCGTCTATTATCAGAAAAACAGAAAATAACAAGTGTTGGTGAGGACTGTATGTAACACAAGGTGGAGAAATTGGAACTCTCATACATTGCTGATGGGAATGCAAACTGGTGCAGTCACTGTGGGAAATAGTTTGGTAGTTCCACCAAATGTTAAACATAGAATTAACTGAGCAATTCTATTCCTAGGTATATACCCAAGAGAAATAACAACATACATTCACACAAAAATTGTACACAAATTCATAGCAGCATGATTTATAATAGCCAAAAAGTTGAAACAACCCAAATGTTCATCAGTGGATGAGTGGATAATCAAAACATGATGTATAAATACAATGGACTATTATTTAGCAAAAAAAAGGAATGAAATTCTGATACATGCTACAGCGTGGATGAACCTTGCAAAAACTATGCCAAGCGAAAAAGCCAGACACAAAAGGTCACATATTGTATGATTCCATTTATGTGAAATGTAGAATGACAAATCCATAGAGACAGAGAGTAGATAAGTTGTTGCTAGAGGCTGGGAGGAATGGAGTGACTGCCAGTGGCTATGGGGTTTCTTCTTGGGGTGATAAAAATGCCTGGAATTAGGTAGCTGTGATGGTAGCCCAACGTTGTGAATATACTAAAACAGTCGAATTGTATATTTAAATGTGAGTTATACTCCAGTAATAAATGAAAAGACATCCACATAATTGAAATTGAGGAAATGGATTAGCTGCTCTAAGGTAGATCGTGTCATGCAAAAAAAGAAGCAGTCCAATTAAACTTTTCTGTAAAATCATTTTATTTCTGAAATATCATCTATATGTGATCATATTATTTTCTCTCTTTTTCTTCTTTCAATGTAGAACAGCTTCTCACTTGCCATGAAACTATTGAAGGAGCTGCATAAAGACTCAAAAACAAGAGAAGATTGGCTGGTGAGATGGGTGCATAGCTATTGTCGATTGAGCCACTTCCGGAGCCAGACTCAGCATCATACTGAGCAGATTCTCACTGTGCTGAAAACCGTCTCTTTGCTGGGTATTAAACTATGCTTTATTCTGTATAAGTTGTAGAATAGTATCTTATATTACCTTTTATGCGTCTTCTAAATCTGTTCTTTGTGCTGCTTTATCAGACATTTGGGAATTAAATCTTTGTAGTAATTTTTGTAGATATAGCCAAGTGTGCGAGAGAAAATGATGTCATTTTCTTGGGAGTAGAACAAAAGATTTAATGCTATTGAATATGATTTTTGGAGATTTTCTTTCTTTATAAAATAAAATAGAAATTAAGATTCTCTTTCATACTTAACAAAATAATGGGTCTGATGGTTTTGAAAAACTAAATTGCATACAAAAATGCCTTATTACATTAAATAGAAATAGCCTTTATCCTCCTTAACCCATTAAAACCAAACCCGTTTTTGTAGAACTTCCCCATACGGTTTCCAAGGAGCAGCTGGTGGATTCGAACTGCCGACCTTTTGGTTAGCAGCTGCGCTCCTCCTTAGCTCTTCTCTTTTTATAGTAGACCTTTAGACTGAAGGGAGAAAAACCCTCTAGTGTGGGTTTTGGGTCTGATATGCCTGCTCTGTTGCCCTGTGTCCAAGGTACAGAGTAGCACCGTTATTGGACATGTTCCCAGACACATTGTCAATCTGGGCTCTTCAGCAAGACAGGGCATTCTACAGAGTATCTGCCACAGGCAAGGTGCGAAGGGGAGAAGCAGTCTTTCCATATTGATTTGACGGTTGGAAAATCAGTCTTATGATTGCTTAAATAATTTTTTTTTTTCAGAAGAGAAGCAAGCATTTGTTTGCTGATATTAAGATAATGTTAGTACGCTACGACCTCATTGGTACATTGCTGTTCGTAATAGTAATTCTACAGTTATAGAATGCTCAATAGTTTTTAACAGCCTTATGAAATAAACAGGGCCAGTGGTTATTATCAGGCATCTGAGAGAAATCTGGCAGAGAATTGTTACCCATGGATGACTAGGGTGGTGTGGTTGACTGGACCTCCTAGGAGTCTGCCCTTCCTCTTTCACACACCATTAACATACCTCCAGAAGCTGCAGGCTTGGCCAGGGCTAGGCCAGCTCCTTGCCCAAAGCCGTGCAGTCAAGTAAGAAGCAGAGCTGAAATTTTAAATGCAGCAATTTCTATTGCTGTATCAGCTGTAATCCACAGCATTGGTTTAAACACATGCAGAGCCATTTCCTGTTCTTTGCAACAGACAGAGCCAGGTGCTTTGACAGAACACAGAAGGCTGACATTTGAATAAAAACTAATTTTGAGTTTTAGTTTCTTAGCCTCTATGGACTTTGATATACTTGCTTCTAATAAAGAACATTTTTTATTAATAAGTCAGTTCAAAGAATTCTGTAATAATTATGAAGTCAGTTTCTTGTACTTTCTATGGAATCAAGATTTATTTGTACACTATAAATTTCTTTTTAACATGGTATTCATTTACTTCAGAAAAAAATTTTTTTTGTTTAATCCAACAGATGAGAACACATCAAGCTACTTAAACAAAAATATTGTGGCCTTTCGTGATCAGAACATTCTCTTGGGTACCACTTACCAGATCATAGCTAATGCTCTCAGCAGTGAGCCAACCTGCCTTGCCCAAATAGAGGAAAGCAAGGTTAGAAGAATCTTGGAGCTTTCTGGATCCAGTTCAAAGGATGCAGAAAAGGTAATGAGTATTGGAAGAATGAACTTCTTACGTCTGTGTGCTGCCTGTTTTTAATATGTAATGTTTTGGCTGCACAAAAATAATGAGGGTATCGCTTTCTATTTTTAAAATATACCTGACAGTTATGCAGAGCTGAGTTCCTTAAATAGAAAAAATTGACGTATTCCATGTGTTTCTAGTTTATTTGAATGATAATCATTTTTGGCATAAAAAGTGACAAATTTGACTGGCTTGATGTCGCCAGTTCTCCCATGGACTTTGTTAATGAAATCTACCACTAGTTGCTATTCATGCCCCACTCACTGTGGGGCAGATTAGCCTTTCTTTCTCACTTTTTCATTCAGTGCCTGAGTGGTCATCACTTTGCTAATGTTTTATACTTTGGACAGTTGCCAGCCTTCCCCTACCTCCCTCAAGGTGGCCAGCATCTGCGCAGGCAGAGCCTTGCATGGTGATTGGTGGTAGGTCTTCTCCTGAGAACATTGGAGACAACAGTTAGTATATCTAGCCCATTAGAATTTGTTAAACTCCTTCCTGTTAGCAGTTTTGCTCGTAAGAAAAGAAGGACTTGGAAATAAGGTTTAAGTATTGTTAAAGCCCCTGGCTTCCTTTAATGAAGAAAGTTCATTATCCCTGTAATCCTTGGGAGGTAATTTGTAGAAAGTTCTGTCCAACAATGGTTAACATCTGGTCTGTGAATCCAAAAATTCGAGGTCAGGCATGGTGGGATATGAGTCATTCTGCTCTACTTTCACAAGTGATAGCATTTTTCAGGGATTTACCTTAAAATGCTTTCTTCTCTTTCTTAAATTCCTGACAGAGCTGCTGACTCTCATGAAACCTTCAGCACCAGGGCAGGTGACTAGTGTGCTGTCGTCTGGCCCGCACTTGGCTTGCTCTGTTCTGTTTGGTTGGTTTTTGTTGTGCTCAGGATGTAATTGGAATGTCTCCTTCCCAGTCAGGGCAGACTCTCCTCCTTCACCCAGTTAGCTAGCTTTCTGTATCATTTTAGAGCTGGCCACTATTGATTAGTTGATGAATAATTGGTCACAAGTGGAAAATAGAGTTCCCTGAGAAGGGTTCAGTTACACTTGCAGGTTTCCTAAGGTGTTTGTGAATTCCAGGTGATAATGGGTCTATATGAGAAGGCATTCCATCTCCTTTCTGAAGCTGTGCAGACCACTGAGGAGGGGACCCAGTTTTCCACCAGGGACTGTGCCCGTGTGGCCGGAGCGATAGATGCTTACATGACTTTGGTAGATTTCTGTGATCGGGAGCTTCGTAAGAAGGAAGAGAATGCATTAGGTGAGTCTCATTTTGTTAGTATAAAGTCTCTTGTTTGCTTTTGTTTTCTTCATTTATACATCCACTCATCTACCCTTTATTAATTCATTAACTTTTTTTAATGTGGTAAGTATATATATAACAAAACATTTGCTACTTCAACATTTTTTACATGTACAATTCATTGCGTACATAATTAATTATGTTCATCATGTTATGAAGTCATCACCCCTACCCATTTCCAGGCTCTTCCCTGACAGGTGTTCTGAGGGAAGTCTATCGTATTTTTAAGTGGCCACAACATCTCCAACAACACACCAGCATCTAAATGAAGTCAAGCTGTTTTCTGTCTTTCCATTTGCATCTTTCATATTGGGCTTGCAGCTTTGGTACTATTGGCCTGACTCTTGCTCCTAGAATAAATTCCATAACCAGCAAATGTCCCTTATGTTTCCAGCCCAGGATGCAAACTCTGCTTCATGCAGAATGGGTAATCTAATAGAGAATTCATCTTCAAGTTAAAAACTTTTACTTATAGTCCAAAATTGTATCTAGTGTTTGTTGATCTAAAGCAGCAGTTAAAAAGAGAACGACGTACTGCACAAATATAAACCAAAAAGAGACAATATAATCATTTGTTAAATTTATAATTTATATGTATGTGGATATATTTTTTGTTTCCTTATTTGTTGTCTTTGATAGTTATTGATCCTGTAGCACTACAAACTTATCCAGCACTTGTGGTGGAGAAAATGTTGAAAGCTTTAAAATTAAATTCCACTGAAGCCAGGCTAAAATTTCCCAGACTACTACAGATTATAGAACAGTATCCAGAGGAGACCTTGAGCCTAATGACAAAAGAGGTTAGTATCTACATTCTAGTGAAGAACTTTACAGAACTTAAAGACATATTCTAATTTATACCCAAATTTATTAGCCTGTGCAATGTTTGTATCATAGCTTTTCCAAACCAGCAATGAATCCTACTATGTCCCAAGAGCTTATGTAATTTAAAACTATATAATAGAGTGTTCACACTTAACCATGATCCTCTTTGGGCATTATACGAGTGCTGGGCCTAAATAAGGACCGAAAGGAGTGGAGGAGTAGGAGTGTTTCGGACGGAGATGGGCTTTTCTCTAGCACATTGGCTGCCCATGGAGCTCAGCTGCAGTTTGTAACATCTGTTGTACTGTGTGCTCTGTTTACTACGCAGCCAGGGAGACTGGTGCACTTTAGCTGCACCTACCTCCTGGTGACCACCGTGCCTGCCTGCAGCCAGGCCAAGAACAGTGCTGAGGACCCCACATCAGGTGGTGTCATTGACATATGTGGGGCCTGGCAGGAGATCGGCTGTTGGATGCAGTCTGGACGACTTCTCCAGCATATTCTACTGCAGAGTTGCGAGTACCTTGCTTATCCTGTCCTACGTGGGCCTGCTGCTTGCCTGTCATCCAAGCTCCTATGCTGTTTGCAGGGAAGACTTCATTTTCTTCATCTGTGAAAGGTGTAGGGTCAGTTGAAAGACTGCTTGAAACTCTGACTGTTAAAGATATTTAACTGGAAAATAGGGCCAAGCTTTGAGCTGAAAAAGCAGTGGTTGAAATGCATCCCAGAATACTCCATTGGCTATCCTAGTCAGTGTGAACAGTGGTGGTATGTGAGCTGTGGGGTACATGCATGCTTGTCAGTGCCTTCACCCCCTCTGGTCTCAGGAGGTCTGCATGGCAGATTCTCTCAGCAGGTCTGAAACAGGAGGTTAAAGTAATTCATCCTACATGTGTTTTTCCTAAAGATAAGTGAGGAGACAATTAAATTTAGCTTATTATGTTTTAGTTTCTCCCAGTATAAGATTTTATGTACCTAGGGTAAAGATAGCATTTTGAATTCTTGAGGAAGTAAAGGGGAGTATCGCTCAGTGTTGTTGTGCCCTGGGCAGGCACTAGCCTGACATTTCCTGAGTGATGCTATGAGCTTCACACTGTGCCTGCAGATTTATGTGGATGGACTCATTTTACCCTCACAGATCCTGCATGAGAAAACATAGGCGTATAGAAATTAGGAAGCTTCTCCAAGTGCACTCCTTATGCTAGTGTTCCAAATGTGTCAGCTTTTGTCTTAAAAATAACACCATAAAGGCGTTCGAGGAAAACACAAGTAAAATTTTTTAAATGGTCTTGGAGTAAAGGGACTGAAAACAGAAGCCATAAAAGAAAATCATTTGAGACTTATGTACAGAAGAAAATGTCATAAACAAAGTTTAAAAAGAAAAAAGTGGGAGAAAAATATTTGCAATGCATATGAGAAACAGAGGGCTAATTTATCCAGTCTAGAATGTAAATTGTCACAAATAGATGACAAAAAGGCAAATGCAATTTATACTGGAATTAAATTTCTACTAGATAATGGTCAGAGGAAATGCATACATAATTAAAGTATACAAGGCAAATAAACATGAAATGTTCAGCCTCGCGAGTAGCGAAACACAGAAATTAGAATTAGATATTTTTTACTTCTCCGATTGACAATGATTTAAAAAATTGGTTTTGTCCGGTGTGTTGTTAAGGATTTTGGAAAATAGTCACTCTCATAACTTTTAGAAATGAAAATTTGAAAAATCATTTTGGAGGAAAATCTAGCAATGTTTATTACAATTTTTAATGCTTAAGTGCAAAGAGGAGTATGTATAAGGATGTCCATTGTAGTATTGTCTGTAAAAAAAAAATTGGAAAACAACCTGAATATTCATTATACAGCAATGGTTAAATAAATGGAATGTTATACAGCTTTTAAAGGATTGAGGTAGGTCTGTCTGCATATCTAAGGATGTGATTTCATTCTTGTGAAAAAGGGTATATATGCACATGTATAGAAAATATCAGGAAGAGTTAAGTGGTTGCCTTGGCAGTGGGACTGAGAGGACTGGGGATAGAAGAGTTTTTATTTTATACTTCTGTTTTTATACTTCTCATTTTTCATATTGAACATGTATGACTTTTGTAACAAAACCTGGTTGGTGGTCTTCTTTATGGTCTAAGGCACAGCTCTCTGTGTTTCAGATTTCTTGCATTCCTTGCTGGCAGTTCATTGGCTGGATCAGCCAACTGGTGGCCTTACTGGACAAAGAGGAGGCTGTGGCGGTACAGCACACTGTGGAGGAGATCGCTGACAACTACCCACAGGCGATTGTCTACCCCTTCATAATAAGCAGTGAGAGCTATGCCTTCAACGACACCTCTGCTAGTCATAAGAACAAGGAGTTTGTGGCAAGGTGACATTAGACATAAATTAGTCTGATCAAATCCTGCAGGTTATGAAAAATGTGTGTGGTAAAAGCAAACACGTGGAACCCTATGATCGTGTTCCAGTTTCTTTCCTTTTAAAAATATATTTTATATTAGAATATTATTCAGGAAACATCTACCCATACTCTCATAGTTATTGATCTGTTGGTAAAGACAGACTAGATGAGATGCTTTTGAAATCAGTTCCTAAAATTGTTCTTCAGTTTAAAATATATAGGAAGGCCCCTCTTCTTCATTAGGACACAGTAAGCTGCCTGAAGAGTCATGCTTTTCGAGGCTTCAGCTGACTTGTAAGTGGAGACAATTGACTCAACTAGTAATGGCATGTTAGTTTTGCAAGAATACTTTGTAAATGTGTAATACTTTGGTAAGCGTTCTCCATCAAGCGCTTTTGTTTACCGTCTTCAGACTTGTACACGCAGACTACTGCAGAGGGAAGGCTTTTCAAAAAGAGAAAAAAGAAAAAGTTCAGGAGGAAAGTGTGTCGAGAAAGTGACCCTTTCTTTTATAACATAACTTCACGTACATCAAATTGTGTGTATCAAAAGATGCTACCAAACAATGCCAAAATCATTTGCAAGAAGATTTGCTTTTATATCTAAAAACCTCACCTCTTGATTGAATAGATACTTTGTGTTTCGTCTAATATTGGAGAATTTTTAAGTTGCTCCTTCCCTAGAATATGCAGTTCCCTAGTATATATATGTGTCTTTGAAAGATGTTTGATTACCTAAACTTGGCAATTTTTTTTTAACTTGGTAAATTTTTTATAGGTTAAAAAGTAAGTTGGATCAAGGAGGAGTGATTCAAGAATTCATCAATGCCCTAGAACAGCTCTCCAATCCTGAAATGCTCTTTCAGGTAATGTAACAGCTTCTAACACATAAAACATAGAACTTAGGTAAAATCTACTTTCAATGGAGCTTGATTTTTTTTTTTTTTTTTTTTAATCTATACAGGATTGGACTGATGATATCAAAGTTGAACTAGCAAAAAACCCTATTAATAAAAAAAGCATTGAAAAAATGTATGACAGAATGTATGCGACCTTGGGAGACCCAAAGGTTCCAGGTCTCGGGGCTTTTAGAAGAAAGTTTGCTCAGGTATGGATGGATGGCAGTCTCCTTTATGATAAAGGAGTCATTGTAAAGATAAATATTTACATCCAGTGGTTTATTAATAATTTTGGTTTTAAAATGTCTGCTGAATTTTTAAATGTGCCTTAAGATACCGACAGCATATATTTAGATCATTTAGTGGCAGGTAAGTGAAGTGGGCCAAGCCTTAGGTTTTTTATTACACCCTGTTCTTCATGCTCAGATTCTTAGCTATAGAGGCTACATGTAGTTTAATACTTATACTTCTCAGAGTGATTTGAATATTGAATCAAGAAAATATTTGTGTTTTATATAAGTTGATAAATATTTTTGAACACTTTTCTCTGTTCAAGACCCAGTCCTGAGTGCTACCAGAGATACAAAGGAGGCAGACCCATTTCCTGAATTCAAGGGATTATACAATAAATACCCTGTATGAAGAACTAGGGCATAAAGACAGATGTGATCACTGTGAGAGCTATTTTAAAAGTTGCTCTACAGTTGAAAGGAAGAACACTCTTCATTTCAGAGGGAATCCGGAAGAGCCTCAGGGAGCAAGTAGAGATGGGAACAGGCCTTGAAATGCCCGGACTTCATAGCGCCAGGCCCGGCGTAGCCTGCCCCTCTGAGTGGATTTACCTTCTCTCCCTTGTCTAGCTGGTGGAGTACTCACCCTTTGAGAACTGGCTGAAGCATCAGTTCTTTAGAGCCTTCCCTCAACATCCTTCTCCCAACTGTCCCCAAGAAGAATTAGGTACAGCTTCCTCTGTTGCCAAAAACACCTTGTGTAGCATTCATCACATTGATTTGTTATTGTTGTTGTTGCAGTTTTGGTCCCAGGAGGTTTAAGGCATAAAGGAGAAGTCCTGGGACTCATTTTGCCAGAGGTCCCAAGTCCCACTACTATTAAAAGAGTTGTAGAATATAAGACTCAAGGTAGGTCCCAGCAACGATACAAAAGTCTTTCAATGCTAGGCTCCAAAACCAGAAAACCAAACCTGTTGCCATCGAGTCAATTCCGATTCATAGCAACCCTATAGGACAGAGCAGAACTACCCCATAGGGTTTCCAAGGAGCAGCTGGTAGATTTGAACTGCCGTCCTTTTGTCTAGCAGCCGAGCTCTTAACCACTGTGCCACCAGGACTCCAATGCTAGGCTAAGAAGGTTATATTTAATGGGAGTGATTGACTGGTAATATTTGAGATAACTTTTAAGTCTGGAGTTTTCTGATTTAGTTGTTGTAAACTTGAAGACTGCTTTATTTATTCTATTGACTTCGAAGATTTTACTAACAAGAAGAGCAATCTTTGTTTAGATTAAGTCAAAGCATTATTAATGGGTTGCTAAAATTTAGTACAATAGAAATCCTCTTATCAGACTCAGTTATCTAGTGCTGCTATAACAGAAATACCACATATGGGTGACTTTAATGAATAGAAATATATTTGCTCGCTGTTCAGGAGGCTAGAAGTCTGAATTCAGTGTGCCAGCTCTAAGGGAAGACTCTTTCTCTCTGTCCGCTCTGGGGGAAGGTCCTGGTCTCTTTTCAGCTTCATTCCTAGGTTCCTTGGTGATCAAGTGGCATGTATCTTCCCCTCCATTTGTGCATAGTTGCTTGCTTGCTTAATCTGCTCTTTTATATCTCAAAAGAGATTGATTTAAAACACACCCTACACTCATACTGTCTAATTAACATAACAAAGAAACCCATTACCAATTGGGATTATACCCACAGGTGTAGAGGTTAGGATTTACAACACATATTTTTTGGGAACCCACTTCAGTCCATACACAGACCAATGGTTGATTAATCAAAAACGTGATTAAAGTGGAGAATCATAAGAATATTATATACAGTAAACACTTTATTTTAGCTTAAAACATCTAAAAGTACCTTTCTTTATCTGTTGCTATAAATCCAAGACTTTCTTTAATATGGTCTACTAATTAGAGCTCCTTTGTACCTCTAAATACATCATCTACATTTCAGTTACAGGTTCTTTAAAGTAGAGCAAGAATTTAGATACCTGTGAAGCAGTCTGACTGTAAGATCCTTTTAGATTTCCGTCCTTTACAATTATCTTGCCTAGTCTTTTTGTTTTATATATAGATTTTATTTTTATTGTACTTTAGATGAAGGTTTGCAGAGCATACTAGTTTCTCGTTAAACAGTAAATACGCATATTGTTTTATGATGTTGGTTGCCAATCCCATGACATGTCAACACTCTCCCCTTCTCGACCTTGGGTTCCGCATAACCAGCTTTTCTGTCCCCTCCTGCCTTCTCATCCTTGCCCCTGGACTGGTGTGCACATTTAGTCTCGTTTTGTTTTATAGGCCTGTCTAATCTTTGGCTGAAGGATGAACCTCAGGAGTGACTTCATTACTGAGCTATAAGGGTGTCCAGAGGCCAGACTCTTGGGGTTTCTCCAGTCTCTGTCAGACCAGTAAGACTAATCTTTTTTTGGGGGGTGGAGTGGGGTGGGGTGGGGGGAGGTTAGAATTTTGTTCTACATTTTTCTCCAGCTCTGTCTGGGACCCTCTATTGTGATCTCTGTCAGACCAGTCAGTGGTGGTAGCAGAGCATCATCTAGTTGTGCTGGACTCACTCTGGTGGAGGCTGTGGTAGTTGTGGTCCATTAAGTTCTTTGGACTAGTCTTTCCCTCGTATCTTTGGTTTTCTTCATTCTCCCTTGCTCCAGACATGGTGAGACCAGTGGAGTATTTTAGATGGCCACTTACAAGCTTTTAAGATCCCAGACACTACTCACCAAAGTAGAATGTAGAGCATTTTCTTTATAAACTATGTTATGCCAGTTGAGCTAGATGTTTCCTGAGACCATGGTCCCCACAGCCCACAGCTCAGTTATTTGGTCCTTCAGGGAGTTCAACTGTGTCTGTAGAGCTTCCATGACCTTGCCTTGGACAAGTTGTGCTGGCTTCCGCAGTATTGTTTACTGTTTTACCCTTCACCAAAGTTACCACTTACCTATTGTCTATTTAGTGTTTTTCCCTCCCACCCCTCCCGCTCTCGTAACTATCAAAGATTGTTTCTTTTTGTGTGTAAACCTTTTCATGAGTTTTTACAGTAGTGTCTCATACAATATTTGTCCTTTTGTGATTGATTTATTTCACTCAGCATAATGCCCTCCAGATTGATCTGTATAGTGAGATGCTTTGCAGTTTCATCATTGTTTATTATTGTTGCATAGTATTCCATTGTGTATATGTACCATAGATTGTTTATCCATTCATCTGTTGATGGGTATTTAGGTTGTTTCCATCTTTTTGCTATTGTGAATAATGCTGCAGTGAACATGGGTGTGCGTATGTCTATTCGTTTGACAGCTATTATTTCTCTAGGATATATTCCTAGGAGTGGGATTGCAGGATCATATCGTATTTCTATTTCTAGCTTTTTAAGGAAGCGTCATATTGTTCTCCAAAATGGTTGTACCACTTTGCATTCCCAACAGCAGTGCATAAGAGTTCCAGTCTCCCTGCAGCCTCTCCAACATTTGTTATTTTCTGTTTTTTTTTTTTGACTGGTGTCAGTAATGTTAGTGTGAGATGGTTTCTCACCACGCTTTTGATTTGCATTTGTCTAATGGCTAGTAGTCGTGAGCATTTTCTCATGGTCTCTGTTAGCTGCTTGTATGTCTTCTTTGGTCTATGTTAGCTGCTTGTATGTCTTCTGTGGTGTCGTGTTTGTTGATATCCTTTGCCCACTTGTTAATTGGATTATTTGTCTTTTTGTTGTAGAGGTGTTGGATTTTCCTGTAGATTTTAGAGATTAGACCTTTGTCACATTTGTCATAGCCAAAATTTTTTTCCCAGTCTGTAGGTTTTCTTTTTACTCTTTTGGTGAAGTCTTTTGATGAACATAAGTGTTTAATTTTTAGAAGATACCAGTTATCTAGCTTATCTTCTGGAGTACGAGTGTTGTTAGTTATGGTTTGTATGCTGTTAATGCCATGTATTAGGGCCTCTAGAGTTGATCCTGTTTTTTCTTCTATGATCTTTATAATTTTAGGTTTTAGTTTTAGGTCTTTGATCCATTTTGAATTAGTTTTTATGTATCACATGAGGTATGGGTCCTGTTTCATTTTTTTGCAGATGGACATCCAGTTTTGCCAGCACCATTTGTTAAAAAGACTGTCTTTTCCCCATTTGGTGGACTTTGGGCCCTTGTCGAAGATCAGGTGACCATATGTGGA